ACGACGAAAGACGCGTCACGTTATACAGGTGACTACGTGTAGGAAGTATCCGGTTCACATGGCATAAGAGCTCTAGGAAAATGACAGAAACTCTTGACGATAAATTGCATGAGAAAGTCAGGCGAAAATTCTGCAAACAGGCGGAGAAGATATTTCAAAACTCAATATCCAAAAGTCTAGATTTCGTGGTCGTCTGTGGCACCATGGGATGCCAAAAAGATTGAAACTTCCCAGCTGTTGAGAAACCGGTCTCCTTTTAACTTCCGTTTATTATAGCATTTTGAAATCCAAATTTAGCGTTCATGTTATCAGTTGAATGTGCGTTATTCAAGAGTCAAACACAGCGTGCAATATCCGACCTTCTTCCCCTGCATATTAATAATCATTTATCGATTTTAAAGAAACGCACTGGCAGATATTGTGTCTAACCGTCTCTGTCTTCACCAACGACAGCAACTCATGGAAGGCAATGGAACTTCGATCAAAGGACAAGGCTCAGAGTTTTACCACAGAAAACGTCACTTTGCACGTACCGTAGCGAAACGAAAATCAGGCGGTCATGCACCAACCGTATATCCGTGGCTCATGCGGTGCATGCTGTGGTGTACGGTAGTCGTGCGATTAGTAAATCATGGCGCTATGCTTACCACCATCATCAAGCGTGCGACATCCAGTTGTGGTTTGTCCGGATGCCGTAGATCACATTGCTGTAGTTTCCAACGTCTCCGCATGCCACCACCACCATCACCCTGAGGGTAGTCGCCTAATTCAAACGCAGGTGCTCCGGCAATGATCAAACTTTGGTCGGTCGACTTCTGTTGTTGAAGGATGGCTGACCATTAGACCACACATGCAGAAGGCAAACGATCTACCACCAGGCGAAACATGCAGGAGAAGAGACGCTGAAAGGGGCACGTTGTGGACAACTGGAGACGAGAGACGTCGGGCGGCGTGGAGATGGCTAGCCAGTCGGCTGGCCGAAGTCACTCGCAACGCCTGAGTCTGCAAGTTCTCGAACAAGGAGTGGAAGAGCCGGCGTCTGATGGGCATCGGCCAGCCGTTGCCGATGTTTGCCCTCAATCATATGCACGAGGCGGAAGATTGCGCAAGCCTTCGGAGCAGCAGACATTACTCATTGCCTGGCCCATGAAATCTGCCCGACGTATTGCCAGCGCCGAAGTCGATAGCCGCCGCCAATCACATGTGCAATCCGCAGTTTTCCAACGACTAATCCCGACGATTGCACGATTACCTCGGCCGCCGCCACCACTTTGGCCTCAAGTCGTCGTCTTGACGATGGCCGATCGTTTTGTGATTTTCAAACGGTAGAAGTCAAGCGATCAGCCGCAAACCGCTTACCGCTTCACTTGAGGAAATCAACTTCTCTCTCTCGCTCGCTCTCTCCATGTTCCTTGATCGACGGTACGCCTCTGCGTCAATGCCATATCTTCATGCTCCTCTATTTCACTTTCATTGTGCTCGGACAAAATCCTTGATTCGCAGGTTGTGCTCTCATGTGCAAAATATTCGGTGTGTCGACGGACGTTTGTAATTAGCACTTGGAGGCTTCTTCACGAAATAACAGACTATGTGAACAAACGAAATGCTCAGTGAATCGGCCAGCGAGAACTTCGACTGATTAGCCGAACTTAAAGCGCTAGAGGTAGGTTTAGTGATCTTCAGCTGCTAGCTGATAGAACGAATAAAGACCGAGCATCTAGAAAGCGTCCATACGCAAGTCCAAAAGTTTACCCCGAAGTTACAAAAAGTCTAGAAACGAAGAATCGCGCATTAACGATTTCCTTAACGGATTGTCGGATATATATTTCACACGCACTGTTCACTTAACTACCTGCCAATCACAAAAATTTCACAAAATTCTTCGCATATTAATATTTTACAATCGCTTACGTGTACAGATCTGAAATTTCCCACTGCTAATATTTTGTCCCAGTTTATACGAAAGGATTTTGACGTCTGTGACAAGCAAGAGGAAGCAAGAGACGAATAAGACAATGACAAAATCTTTATTCCTTAATTCTCTCTAAGCTAGAATACGTTGTGATGTCTTTCGAAGTGTCTATCGAGACAGCTACTTAAAAGAGGTTAAACGACTAGAGAAGATTCTAGATTCAGAATAAATCGATATACAGTGGAATTGTTGCTTCTGATTTTTCGTTTCTTTATGTAAGACAGGGACAAACGCCACCTTCCGTTCAGATGGATGAGGAGAGCGACGCGACAAATCAGTTTCGCAAATCTGTTCGCTAAATATTTACAGTTTTGACCATTCAAATTAAGCAGGATCGTAGTTTCGACTACTTGAACGAAAGAGCAAGTCCAGTAAAAGTGGCCCGGAACTTCTGCTCGTTTTCGCCAAATCTCATTATATTCCATGCACAGCATAAACAGATGTGAAAACGATATCACCATACTTTCACTGGGGGTTAACACGGAAAATGATGCCCAGATCCGCCGAAATCCCTTATCCGGGTTTGTAATTTGTGTCGTTATCGTAGACAGGTAAATATAAAGAAGTGTGATGTCAGCCTCCAATTACCGCCGCTTCATTTGCCGTTTATTTTGGCATTCATTGAACGTCTTTAGGCTAATGTTCGTACCCTGACGCGTGCCTCGCATTAGCTGTACAACATGAGGACGAATGGCCACATTTGTAGAGAGCATTCCCAGTGCTACAATCCAAGCGTTTGACATCTCTCTACGAATTTAGTAACAATTTCTGGCATTTGATGAGACGTCGTCATCATTGCGTTTTCTTAGGCTCTACTACGGAAATACATATGAGTGGGCAGGGGGGTTCTCTCTGAGTATATGACAGAACGCGAGTCCCTGTC